CAAATGTGGAATTTAGAAAAGGGTTTTCTTATTCTTGCACATTTGAAATTCGTAAGTTGTGATGTCTTAGATAATACAAAGACCAACTAGGACTAATTATGTGAAGTGTTTTGTCTTGATAAAAGCTACACTAACTCTTGAATATTTGTTTGTCGAGAAATATTTATTGACAAAAGAATCTTATATGTCAAGGAGTCAGTGGGAGTCTTAGTGGTCTTGAAAAGTTTCAAGAACTAATCAAGAATAAACCTTATCAATCATCAGTAGCACACAACTTGAGGTTTACAACCCATCGCGTTGACACTATCTTGTTTCTGTGTCGTTCCAATTGAGTTAATTATGCATGTGAGTTCTATGAGTTCTCATTTGAACGTATAAAAGTCAAGCACTTTGATCAATGAAAAGTACATTGATATGAAAGGGTGAGTTGCTTAACTACTTGGAAGACATGGTGGGCAGTCGTGTTACCATAATGCAAGAAATCAAGATTGAGAAAGTTCGGTCCATATGAGTTTGGATTTGTCACAAACTTTGGTTTTGACAAATTCACATGGATAGGAACACATACACCATAAAATCTAAGTGTCATAAGATTCCCTCCTTCATGAAGATGACTGTGAGAAAATGCTTTCATTAAGAGAGATTTTAAGAAGATAGTGATTGTGAAATTGTGTTCTCAAATTCGATTATGGTTACGGTATCCCTTTCCATAATCCGAATTGTGAGATTTAGCAATTAGTATGAATTGTTTAGACAGACATATGAGCTATCTAAGGCAAAGGTGTATAAGATTAAGAAGCTTATATAAAAGATTATCAAAGCATTAGGTATTAGAAATATGAACTTAAGAAATTCAATAGGTATTGTTTTCTAGAAGTTTAGTTGTTTTCTGAATACATGTCAAAGCTAGTGGGAGCATAAGTGTTATGTTTATATGATAATAATCATCATGATAGTGGGAGCATAAATGTTGTGCTTGTATGATTATTAAGGAAAGTATTGCAAGTTAGCAATATTAATTATAGAAAACAAGAGTAATACTTTGCAAAGTCGTAAGGGTTAAAAAGTTGTTTTGCTATAATTAAGGGAGAGAATATTGTACTTCGTTTCAAAATCTAAAGCTTAGATTAAGAAATTTTAATAAATTTAGTATAAGGATACATAGTGTGTTCTTAATATTCGATTATGATTACGGTAACCCTCTTCATAGTTCGAATGGTAAGAATGAGACACATAAAATATTATGGCAGAAGATTGATAAAGTATCATATCTTTATGTAAGACATTATGCATCGTGTTCTATACGCTTCGGGTATAGGATTGATTGCTAGTGCTATTATATTTGACCATCCTAAAATTTTCCAAATGTGTAGCGCATTTAGAGGGAAAAAGGACTAGAATCGGTTTTGACTAAAATAATTAAACAACTATCAAGGGACGATCCAAAGCTCGCTGAGGATTGGTCGCTTGTGAGTAGTTGGAAGTATGGTATTGGATGACACTATTATGAATAGATAAGATTCTATTAAGAATGAATTGCCATATGGCAAATATGGAAATGTTTCCATATTGGGAGTTGGATATTGAGAATCTATGTCTAGATTAGAAACTTTTATGCAAGAAGGATGTTCAAAGGAATGTACTTTGAGTGAGAGACATCATATTTATAGAATTGTTTCTGATAGAGACTGAACAAGTCTTGATGATTTTGAGCTATGACTTTATGAAAGAATCATTGCATAAAATGTTAGAATCTAGCATAAGTAACAAGAATTTGATATTCTTATACTTATGATAAGGATTGGGAATTGTGAAAGGGGTATGATTGGAAATGTGTTCATTTGATCTATTTCACAAAGTAAGGATCATAGGTAAACATTGTGTACATGCTAAGAGCATGGGACAAGTGTAGTAATAATTCAAGTAAGAAGTTGATTACCCGAAACAACAAATAATGAGTAATCAATATGGTGATTAAATAAAAAGTTTCATTTATACCCAGAGTTTGGGGCCATATGGGATTAGTATTATTCTTGTGTTTCACTTTGCATGTTTTGACTTCCTGAATAATTAAACTGGTTCAGAACAATCAAATTATTTGAACAGACCACAGTCGTTCATATGTTGGAAGTAGGTATGAATGAAGATTGTCGTGAATTGGTGTGTGGATTGTCTAAAGTGTATTAGACATAAGCAAATGATTGCTGCAACTTTCATAAGTGCTTATGAATATGATTTGAGCATTGGATTAAACCCACGATCACTTGGATCACTTCATGGATTTTATCACGAGTGATTGGTGAGACGATAGTATCTTATATTCTTGAAACCGAGATGTATGACCCTGGGTACTCCATGGAGGTTAATGTTGGATTAGTGTCTAAGTCCATAACTATTTTGGTATGTACTTGACCCGATGGTGCATGGTCCTTTTGGGTTGCCTTCACCAAAGCAACTTGATAGGATGAATTATGAAGAGAAAGGATTAATTATGATTTATTAATATATTATGAGAATAATATATTAAAGGAGAAATCATATTGTTTAATTAATATTAGTCAAGAATTAATTGATAATTAATTTTGTGGCTAAAAGAGATTAATTAAACTTAAGGGACTTGAACTGTAATTATAAGATAATTGCATTTGGGCTATGGATCACCTTGGAATAATAGGTTGGACGAATTCTATGGGGAAACCCAATAGAAATCATCCAAGGGATATTCTAAAAGGGTCCATGGGCTGCTTAGGGCTTAAGCAGTCAAATTAGGGTTTCCGAGTTGAAAACCCTAATAGCCTACAAGTATATATAGTACCCTTAAACCCCAAAAACGTCGATAAGAGTTCCACTAGGGTTTCTGGACATTTTTGGGCAGCCTCCTCTCTCCTTATTCTTCATCCTCTTGCTCTTGGTGTTTGTGAGCCATTAGAGGAGTGATACTTGTGACTCTAAGCTTTCTAAAGCCATTAGAAGGAGGATTTGAGATTGTTATTGTTACATAACAATCAAGGTAAGATCTAAACCCCATTCTTATGTTAATACGATTAACAGTATGCTAGATCTAGGGTTTAAAGTCTTGGATGAATTGCATGCACAATAGAGAAACCTAGATCCAAGCATTAGGGTTTGCATGAGCACATAGGATGTTCTTATGGCTAAAACCCATCAGTTAAAACTCATGGAGTATAAGGAATGTGGAAAGTCATGCACATTAGGGTTTGCATGGTGTAACCCTAGTTGTGTCACACTATATAAAGGACCCCATAGCTACCAAAATCGGCCCTTAAGTGAAAGTAAAGAGGGTTAGCCAATTTTGCGTGCAAGTATACTTCTATCAAGTTCTTCCAATTGTTGGTGGTGTTGTATGAAGCATTTGAGGCATCGCACTTGGGATGCTAGGCTCTTAAAGGCTTAAGGAATCAAGCTACAAGAAAAGGTATGTCATTCTACTAGTTTTGTATTACATATACTTCATGGTATGCTAGTTAGGATGAAACCTTGGAAAAAAAGAGTTTGCATGTATAATAGAAAAAACATATATACAAGGTTTCTAGGGTTGCATACACACCTAAGGAGTGTTAGAATGCTCAAAACCCATAAAAAATTTCCAATTATCAAAGCTGATACTGACAAACAAGGGAAAGCCTGTGGATTTGGATTTTGACAGGGAGCTCACATATTCCCCTGTCGGGAACCGTGGTAATTGGTTTACCCATGAGATTGGGAGGTATATGTGGATGAACATCCCTTTGAATGTGTTTGGTTGGGACAATGTTTCCCCCGCTTTAGGGAATGTCACAGCCGTGCATAGTGGTGAGCACCGGAACAGGGTACCCATTTTTGGAACCGGAACCGTGTTAGGCGGTTTCGGTTCTTGTTCCTAAAACTGTGGAACCGCCTTAAGTGGAACCGCTACCCTGTCGGGTACCCGATAGAACCGTTTTTTTTTTTTTTTTTTTTGTGTGTGTATATATATATATATATATATATATATATATATATATATATATATATATATATATATATATACACATATATATCTTCCTCTCTAATAAAACAAAACAATACTTTATCTGACACGTGGCACCTCCTTAGTCCATCCGTCTTTGATTTTCCCGCATTTTTGCTAACTGGAATTCCAAAATTACCCTCCATGTTATTTATCACTGAAAACACAAAAAATTTGTAAAATATTTTTATAAATTGGAAAATATTTAAATCTGGAAATCAAGATATTTGAAATTTGAATTTTCAATTATACCTTATAATTCTGCAACAAATATGGCAGAAAATAAATTTTAAACTCTATCACTCCCAAAAAATCAGCAAAACAAATTTCAATCCCAATAAATTAGCAATCGAATATCAGTCGAATATATATACACCTTTACATGCGTGTTTACCTTCCTGTTTCACTATGCATAGATCAGACTTTATTCATCAAGTAATGAGACTACATTGTTTACTTTGTGTGTTTAATATATCGATGGTATACTCATGAATCTAGCTCTTTTTTTTTGCTTGTAGTGTGTTTTTCCTATATCCAGGGTATATAACTATATACTCATCGATATATTTAATTTTGGATGCATAATCAACTAGGTCAGTTAACTGTTTTTTTTTAAACTATTAACCCTGTTTTTTATATCCTCTTAACCCTATTCTTTATAAAATTTAATTTATCATATTTTTTCCTTAATGTATTTAATTGTTTTAATTTTTTTTTATAAATTGTTCATCATGTACCTGTATCACGGATTCTTGAATAGCAATGCATTTTATAAACTGTTAATCATGTTTTTTCCTTATGTATTTGAAGTCATTTATGTACCCATAAGTCACTTAAAGAAATTATAACATTATGTATTTCAATCGATGAAAATCAGTTAAATATCAATGTACTTTTTGTTTTATTAAGTACATGTTTTCTTTACGATTTTTTTTTATTGTATTAATTTTTTTTTTCTGAAATCTACATTTTTTTTAACTTGCAAGGTACAATGGAACACATTACTCCGATAAAGGAGATTGACTCAATCAAGGACGATTTCACAATTAAGGTTCGGATCATACGTCTTTCGCAAACGTCAAAATTTGATGCAAACGAAACATACTCGATTGAAATGGCTTTGATGGATGAGGAGGTATAAAATGCATATATTCAATTATTATTGTTATAAAAATTTATTCATATTTGTAAGCAATTATATTTAAATGTTTGTCAATCAATTTTTTTAGGGAAGGAAAATTCATGCATCTTGTCTGAAGAAATGGTTTCCTAAATTCCACCGCTATTTAAAAGAGGATAGTTCATTATACATCAGAAAACCTAATGTCGCACAAAATACTTCAAAATTGAAGTTTGCTGATCCAGAAAAAAAACTTACTTTTAATCAAGATACAAATGTGAAGGATTGTGAAAACTTTTCTGGTTCTGCACATGACTTTGTTTTTGTTTGACTTCAATACGATTGTTTCTAACAACATCCTGGAGTTAGACTCTTTTGGTTGGTTCTTTTCATATTAATTTTTGTTATATAATGTTGGGTTCAATATGTGTTGCATCTTGGGCTCGTTTCTTAGCCCAGTTTTGTATCCGGATTGGGCTTGTCAATCCATGATTTAATATTTAGGGTTTTAGTATTTATAGATGCTTGCATGCATCTTGGTACATAGCTGTTTAGTCGATCATTCATAACGTTTTTGTTTCTATCGATTGTAACCCTAAAAGCCTCTACAACGGAAGTTCTTCATCGAGCTCTGATGAGGCGTGAATATATTGAATCATTCAGCTCATTGTTGGTTCATTCTTTTGTGTGTTATTTTGTTTGCATGACTCTGATAAACCTGTGTAAGATCTAATCGATCAAAGAGTATTTTCTTCTTATCAATTGGTATCAGAGCAGGAGGTTGTGTAATTCATACACATTTCTTCTGTCAAAGAAGTGATTAGGGTTCATTCCGCATTCATTGATATTTATTGAGTCGTCACTCCTTAATTGACTATCTCATTAATTATTAATCTTGCCCTAATATTACGTATTACAAAGTCTGATCTTATAACAGGTTAAACGATCAAGCATGGACGATTCTCAATCCAATCCCATCAACATCTCTAAAAGCGTCGGATCAACAACCAAGATCCCAATCCTCTACGTTCAAGACTACGAAGTGTGGACACACCATTTTGAAGATTACGTTATTGGATCAGAAGATAATGGGTATCTTATATCAGAAGCAATCACAGTTGGCCCATTCACTCATTCAAGCACTTCAATAATCATTAAAACTCAGAAAGAGTACAATGATCTCCTAAAAGATGTGAAGGACGTCCCTCAGGACGAAAAGGAAAAGTTTCAATGCAACATTAAAGCATTGAGACTGATTCGATTCGCCCTTCAATCTGACACATTTCGATTGGTAAGTTGATGTAGTACATCAAAGGAAATCTGGGATCGACTGTGAGAATTGTATTCCACAGATGAAGATCTGGAGCACTCGATTCAGACCCTACTTCTCTCAGAATTTGGAGAGTTCAAGCAGAATCCAGAGGAATCCGTTACACAAACGTTCGATCGGTTCAATCATCTTCTTAGTAAGATGATCAAACATGATATAGAAAGAAAGCTCATTGAACAGAAGGTTACTTTCTTAAATGGATTAAGACCCGAATGGAGGGCGATTGTGTCAACAGTTAAAGCACATGAGCAGTTTAAGTCATATTCTTTGGCAAAACTTGTGGGGATTATGAAATCCTAGGAAAAGACTGTGTTGCAAGAGAAAAGCGTGGTCTCAAACTTTGTGTCCTTGTCCCTTCTGTCAAAGGGTAAGAGCGCAGCAGCAGAAGAAGAAGATCTGAATCTGGGAGACTACGATCTGACATTTGAAGACTATGCCATGATGGTGTCAAATCCTAGGAGGTTCATCAAGAAGAAGTTTCCTACCAACAAGAACCAAAATTGGCAAGGAAGCTACAACTCTGAGAAAGCAAAAGAGGAGTCGAAGGTTGAAGAACCAAAGAAAGAAGCGAAGGGTGAAGCTGATTCTGGTGTCAGCTGTTTTTAGTGTCGAGGGAAAAATCACTACGCAAAAGATTGTGTGTTAAAGAAAATGGCGGAGAAGGAAGATGAGAAGGATGAAGAAGCGAGTCTCCTGAAAAGACTGGAGGAGATTAAAAGGAAGAAAGCTGCTACTAATCCTTCCATGAATGCTTTAATTATGCAGGGTTCGGTAGATGATGATGAGTTTGGTGGCGTATAGGTATGGTCGACCGACTCAGAAGATGATGAAGTGAGAAAGCCTACTCATAGAAAGGCTTATGTGGAGAAGAGTGGTGACGCTAGTGGAAGATGCTTGATGGTGACAGATGTATCCCAGACGAGTGGATATAATACTAATGGTGGAAACAAAGTGACTAAGGAGCGAGAGGATGTGTGCTTTACAGCGAAGCCTCTCAGTGTGTAGATCAATGAACTTGATGAACTGATCAAGAAGGTACAATCCATTTTTGTTTCATTTAAAATTCCACAAACATCGTATGAAAAAGAACTAAATAACTTGAATTCAAGAATTTCAAATCTATATAGTTGTTTAACTCAAACACGTGTCATGAATTCTAATCTAACTGACCAAATGAGTAGGGTTTCATCCAAGAGAGAGGAACAGAGAATGTGGATTGAGCAGAAGGAGTTGGAGTTGGTTAGGTCTAGGGATGAAAATATCTATTTGCAAAGAGACAATATTAAATTGTTAAAATAGAGAAACATTTTTTGTTTGATTGCAAAAAGACTTTATACTAACATCACACAACTGCATTTGAATTGTGAAATAGGCCAGAAAATACATCGCGTGATTTTACCCTTTCTTGAGCTAAAGGAGGATGAAATTGATGCCGAAGCATACAACTGTGAAAGTGTTGCATCTTCAGATGATGTAAGTCCCACTTATATGTTTGGTCTGGACAAAATTGAATCATTTATTAAGTCCAAAGACCATAAGAACATGCTCAAAGATCTCTTGGATGAAAATGACAAGTTGAAACTCAGAGTCGAAACCATACAAAAATTTGACTCATTGAGTACCAAATTAAGTTCAGAAAATAAAATTGATGTTGAAAATGCATCTGAACTTAATAAGGACGATGACATGAGTGAAATCTCTGCAGAGGATGAGGTTGACTGTTTAGAGTTTACTAAGAGCGAACCTGAAAACCACAAAATTTTGATTTCTGAAAATTCTGTGGAATTCGCTCGTTTATCCAAAAGTAAGTCCCCAGTTCTTAAAGAAAAATCCGTTGTTTACCAAAAGGTCAGAACAACTCCCAATCAAGTTTATAAGGTCACAGGAGTAACCGAACATCAGACAGCCGAACTCACTGCGCTGGTGAATGAAGATAATGCAGATGGTTGTGATGAGTATTTCTGGTCAGCACCGATAGACAATGCAGATGAAACAGTTGGTTTGTCGGAGTGAACATCATGGAAGGCCAAAGGTAGATACGTGGCAGAACCACTAAATAAACCTACCAACTATGACATACCCAGTTCCAGCGGAACAAAAGAGGTTCTAGTAGAATGCGTCTCCTCAACAAGCGAAACCTCTTCCATGAAAAGTGAACCTGTTGTTCAGAAGCCGAAACAGAAGGCAAATATTCACAAACAATCGAAACAGGTGAACAATCAAAATCACCAGAGGAATCTGAGATACAAGAAAAATCTCTCAAAGCGAAAGCAATTTTGGCGCTCCAAAAATCCTCACTACACTCACTTTAATAGAAACTCCAAGCCAAAAGGAGAAGAGAATAAAGATAAAAGGAGGTTCGGTCTGTTTGATCAAAAGAACCAAAAGAAGACTTTTGGGCAACAGAAAGTACAAGACCGAATGAATAGGTTTGGTCCTGATAGCAACAGCAACCGAAAATCCAGTTTCGGTCCAGAGACTCACAACAACCGAAAAGGTAGTTTCGGTCCATCAGCAAATAGCAACCGAAGGTTCAACTTCGGTCCCTCAAATGATCAAAACCAAAAGGATCATTTCAAACCAGAAGTCAGGAAAGATTCTCATTTTAAATTCTATTCCTCTAATTCTTCTCGTTCTCATTCCTCTTCTAAACATAATTCGTGTCCCACACCAAGCTCACAATCGACGAAGGACTTGAAAGGAAAAAAGGAAGATTTTCTCAGCAAATGAAGACAGAAAGCAAGCTAAAGTGCAAACTCCTGAACCTAAATCCAAAACACTTGAAACTAACTCTAATAAAATCAAAGTGTTTACTATTAAGAGGAAAGATAAAACAACCTTAATAAAACGAACTTATCTTGATGATACTTTTGTTGATATTCCTGTTTCTGTGAAAGGCTCACAAGGACCCAAGAAACTTTGGGTTCCTAAATCTGCTTAATTTTTGCAGGTTATAAGTGACGAGCAGTTCGACGAAGAATGGTACATAGACAGTGGCTGCTCGCGTTACATGACAGGAAGAAAGGAAGAACTAAGGGAGTTTCAGTCCCTTCAAAACGGTGGTAACGTCAACTTTGGTAACAACTCCTATGGAACGATCAAGGGTTATGGGATGATAACTAATGGGAATTTTACAATCAGGAAGGTGGCTTATGTAGAGGGATTGCAGCATAACCTCATCAGTGTGTCTCAACTGGTCGGAGGTACAGGTCTCAAAGTTTCGTTCGATGACGAAGGTTCAAAAATAATAGAGAAGAAGACCAACAAAGTGATTCTCAAGTCAGAACGAAAAGGTGAAATGTTCCCTCTGAATCTCAACCCAATCAAAGGAAAACCAACCATATGTCTATTGTCTACAGCTCATTCAGACGAAAGCTGGTTGTGGCATCGAAGGCTCGCACCTCAAGTTCAAAGACATCAACAAGCTAGTCATCGGTGATCATGTTTGGGGTCTTCCACTGCTCAAGTTCGATCGAGAACATTTATGTGCTGCTTGTGAAATAGGGAAACAAAGTCGCCAAAGTCACCCAAAAATCTTAAATACAAAAGTTGTTGAACCACTTGAGTTGCTTCACGTTGATTTATGTGGTCCATAATCCATTGAGAGCATTGGCGGTAACAAATACATCCTTGTTATTGTTGATGACTTCTCAAGGTTTACTTGGGTGTTCTTTCTAAAACTTAAATCTGAGGCAACTCCCAAGCTGAAGATCTTTATCAAGCAGGTTGAAGTGCAACTGAGAAAAGCTGTTCGAAACATCAGGAGCGACAATGGACTAGAATTCAAAAACAAAGAATTAGAAGATTTCTTAGCAGAAAAAGGCACGAGTCACAACTTCTCATTCCCCTATACTCCTCAACAGAATGGAATTGTCAAAAGGCGAAACCAATCCCTATGTGAGGCAACCCGAACCATGCTGAGTTTTGCCTCTCTTCCTCTATATTTCTAGGCAGACGCCATTGCTGCAGCTTGCTACACTCAAAACAGGTCTTATCTCAAT